CACATGGAGGTGATTCGTCTATCGTAACATTTCCCTTCAGAGGTTCCACATGGGGCTGGAACGTATACATGTATTTACCAACGTGTCCAGAATGCATCTCTACTTTCTCACTATTCCCGACCATGTTAAAACAATTCAACTATTGAAATCAAAGAACTCTCATAGAAGTGGGTGAATTCGTCTTCAAATGCTTGAATAGGACAAATCAAACCCCACAAATCCAGCTAAATTTCATATCATTTGAATCCATTTGACAAAGGGAGAAGAATATATTTCACTCCCATACCTGGTCATACAAGGTGGCATGGAATAAAATAAAATCTGACGATATAAATTTATACTAGAAAGGCCAATATTTGCTTTGGAGCAAATACAGCGATGGGTTCACCACATTTTACGACATGGCAGGGAAAGAATGAGAAACACAAGGGAAAACAATGATTTACACTGATATAACTATAATATGAAGTAACATACAACTAAAACTAGAAAGGCCAACATTTGCTTCGGAGCAAATGTAATATTTCACTCCAAATCCCTCCCCATACAAAAATAGAAGATTCTGAATAAATCATACTGCAATCATACAAGGACAAGCTTTTTGAATCTCGACAGATATTTACAAAAATGGCACTTGGCCATTATCTCCCTTTTTTTTACAAAGATACAACGACAAGCACTTTAAATCTCGACAGCTTTACTTTACACTTATCTCAATTTCAAAGTTACATATTGCAGGTATCTAAATACTACTAATGACGAAATTGCAACTACTACTTACGGTAGCAAAACTTTTCACGGTCTGAGAAACATGGACATGTTCACGGAACTATATATTCACGGTGGTGACAGTTGCAGGAAAAAGAAAGTCCAGGAATTATTTCCTAACTGTAAAGATAAGTTCACGGTACAGAGGTGACAGTGAAAACCGTGAACATTGACCTCCTGCTTGCGTTACGTTGCGGTACAGTGAAAAAAAATAGGGAATTACAGTAATCAATTTACAGAGTATGTTTGCTTAGTTTCCAGATGTTTTGTATGAATGTCGTAAACTTAGTTTTAAATTAACGAAAACCGATGCGCGCACAGATGCCATCCATACAATCAAATCAACATGGCCTTATTAACAATCACATAAACTATGAAGCCATACATTGAATAAGCTATACATATAATATGATTATCATAAGCTTTATTTTTAAAATCATGCCAGTGAGCTAATTGCATGTACAGAGTGAAAGAAAGTAAAGTAAAGTAAAGCAGTAGAATTTCTGTACTAAGCTATGATAGTACTACATATGATTCGTTCCTC